TTCCCGACCCACCGCTATCTAGAGCTGAGTTTACAGGTACTCCCGAACCTCACTTCGTCATTCGAACCGTAGGCTCCCGCTCTGAAGAGCTAGCGTCGTGGAAGATTGTCTGATGACTGTAGACATTGTCCTTGTGCAGCTCCATTATTTCGGCGTCGACAGCTGCCATGCTGGCGCCAGGGTGGTAGAAGAAATAGTTTAAGGAAGCGCTTGAAGGGGTCGGTGCTGAAGGTAGCGGATAACATTCTTGTCCATAATGCAGAATAAGGATGAGCAGGAGCCGAGCCAGTGACACTAATAGAAAGATCAATCCTTAATGTATAAATGCTCACATTACCGGTTAGCCCTCTTCAGGTAATAGGCGAATACTTGGGTTCAAAAAAGTATGACAGAACTTTCCCGCCAACCTAATACATCAGAGTAGTAGAAATTTCTGGTCGGGCAGCCATGAACTGCTTCGATCCTTTCAGGTGGTACCGCTGAAACGCAGAGCAATGAAGTTGATTCATCAACCTCTTTTGAGAAGGAAGCAAAGCTGCTCGCAATTGACGCAGTGCCGCATTTACCAAAGTAGTATACAGCGACTAATAATAATGTGTTCATACTTTGCGGCGGCGTCCATCAGCGACCAGCAACGCCTCGAGTACTAGGGAAATCCAGGTACTTACCGGGCGACTAGCAGCGTCTACTAGGGTCCATTAGCTACAATTAGCATCTTGGATGGGGAGCGTGGATGTTATTAGGGTAGCAGACAGTTGTAGAGAATGGGGACGTAGGAGGGTAGACCACTGGCAGGCAGTATAGGGCAACAGGAGGTGTCAGGTGTCTGATACCGGATTTCGTTCTCTATCGCACCATGCTCTCCATCCCAGGACGCCGCAGTTCGCTCATAGACGCTAGTAAATGCTGCTGCTCGTCGTTAGATCGATGACCGTTCCTATTCCCTTAAGACGCTGATGGCCGCTGGTTGACGCTCCGCTGCCGTTCGCTAGATCTATCAATATCTTCCCAGTAGCTGACGCTAACGAACGCTCGCAGCTAATGGTCGCTGTGCACGCTGCCGCAAAATATGAACGCATCGCAACTGGGGTCCTGCTACTCTCCTGAAGTTCCATCATCTCTGAACTATAGATCTGTTCGCGGAGGATGCTATATCGGTATCTATACTTTTCTTCTCAGGAATACTCTTGAAACGCCGATGCTCTCGAAACGATGACTCATGCACTTTACCATTACCATTCTCTCTAGTCGCAAAGTGTGACTAAAGCGTAACCTCTGTAAATTGTTCAAATTGAGTAATAAATATGTGCACCTACCAAATAATCGAAAATATGCAAAAGAGGAGTAGCACAAACGCACGTATACGAGCCAGATTGCCATTCGTTCTATCCTTAATGAAGTCATTGAGGTAAAATTCTTGTGCTCTAGCAATCAAGTTCTTCGCTGCTTCCAATGCCAACAATACACTGCACACCCAAGGAGGCTCCTTTTTAATGCTTGGTCTTTGGGAAGATTTTTCTTATCTATTTCTAGCATTTTCACGCAGGCGCAACTGGACCTTTCATTAGCAAGGTTTTTTTCGAGAAGCAAACTCTCTCCAACCCAACAGTGCCAGACATTGTGCGGACCAAGCGATTCTCACAACCCAGAAGAGCCTTATAGCTTCAGAAGAGCTTTATACAGCTATCTATTATACTCAGTTAGAGCTACTACATCCATTATTGTTCGCTGAGGATGATGTCAAGGTGTTTGCTTTGCTGCCTGAACTTGAAGCGGGTTAGTGACAAAAACTGGTGGGAAACGGGCTGGCGACGCGCCAAATATAGCGCGTTTGTGGATGCGCGTCGCAGCGAACAAGACTGTATTTCTTTCATGATGACTGCAGAAGCAGACACATGGTACGCTCATATACATTGAGGGTGTATATGACTAACAGCCTCCAGCTGTCTATGTGTTGTGATTTCCGTGCCCGAAACTGCACGAGGTGAGTACAGGGCCGTGGGAAAGTCTAATTCGTCCATGCTCCGCCCAAAATGCAACTTGCGGCGCAGACTCCCTTTATGCTAACAGCCGTCCGCGCGGCGCGTGTCGCGCGCAGCTCTCTTGGCTTTTTGCCAAGTCCTGTAATTGCGCTTTGGAATACAAGTAAAACGCAATTTCCTGATGCGGATAACATTTTAGGTGCTGCAAAATAAGAACCGAAGATGATGACGAGGGCCAGAACTCAAGAGCAACTGTGCTGCTTCTGCAATATCCCTCAGAGGCCGCGCATTCCCACAGAACATGAAAATAAAAACGGCCTAAGCTCCCACTCGTTAGTTTAAAGTATTTCTATGGCTTTGGAGCCGAATTCGCGCCGGATCGCAGAAATTTACACGCGATTTTAATTAATTTGCGTTTCCTTAATTTTTCATTTTTGTTTTATTTACATCTACATTCGTTGTTCTTCATTTCTAGCCTTTGTCATCTTCATCACCTTCTATTCGGACTTTGAAGCATGAGCAACACCTCAAATGTTATTCGCATCAGGAAATTGCGTTTTGCTTGTATTAAACTAACGAGTGGGCCGTTTTTATTGTCATGTTCTGTGGGAATGCGCGGCCTCTGAGGGATATTGCAGAAGCAGCACAGTTGCTCTTGAGTTCTAGCCCTCGTCATCATCTTCGGTTCTTATTTTGCAGCACCTAAAATGTTATCCGCATCAGGAAATTGCGTTTTACTTGTATTCCAAAGCGCAATTACAGGACTTGGCAAAAAGCCAAGAGAGCTGCGCGCGACACGCGCCGCGCGGAACGGCTGTTAGCATAAACGGTAGGCGGAGCATGGACGAATTAGACTTTCCCACGGCCCTGTACTCTAACCCCGTGCAGTTTCGGGCGGGGAAACCACGACACATCGACAGCTGGGGGGCTGATAGTCACATACACCCTCAATGTATGTGAGCGTACCACGTGTCTTTAAGAGTAACTGCCGGTCGCATTGTGATGTTACTTCGATAGTTAGGACATTCTCAGTGGTGGGTGACATTTTCTAGGGCGGCAAACAGATGGCGCGCTAATGAGGAAGAAAAATCTGGGTTTGGAGCGGATCATTGAAAGATGGCAATTGACAAGAACTGATAAAAAGGGGCTTCGCGCCGCGCTCAACCCCTCCCTGATACGCCGCAGATTCGCAGCGATAAGGACTGTATATATACCATTTTCACTTTAAATCGGACACTTTTCAAACCAAATCGGACACTTTTCAAACCAAATCGGACACTTTTCAAATCAAATCGGACACTTTTCAAACCAAATCGGACACTTTTCAAATCAAATCGGACACTTTTCAAACCAAATCGGACACACCCCTTACAATTAGGTGGTTGATAACTAGACCACACTAGGTACTGTTGCAAGCCCCGCCCCATTATCCCCGCCCACTTCTCAGCGCGGACAGGGTTTTCCGAGATGCTTCATGAAATCTGCTCCCTCGACTTTTTTTCGTTTTTGCCCTTTGCACACACACTTCAACTGAAAAAGATTGATACCTATACAGATCTGACTCCGCCCACTTAACAATGAAGTTACGTAAGTTCTGAATTTTTATAACTTTTTCGACGTAGTTCTTTTCACATCCAATCTTCACAAAACGAATAACCATGCACAGCACACCAGGCCCCGCCCCTGACCCCGCCCACTTGTGTTTATCGCGGAATTTTGGTTTTTCTTCCGGATTTTCGCTTTTTTAGGCTTTAGCGATTGGCTCCGCCCACCAATGGAAGCTCCGCCCACTTTGGGGAAGCCCCGCCCACTTTTCGAAAATGATGCAAATCGGCGGGCTAGTGTCCGTACTGGCGGATTACGGCCTCTCCCGTCGCTCAGAACAAAGTTTCCCTTTTTTTCCGGTTTTTCCTTTTTTTAAATTCTATGTTCTGCGCATGGGAACCTAGTTTTCTTGTAGAAGCACGAACGCAGTACCTATTCTATGCCTCTAGCAGTAATGTTCTCAGCATGAGATGTCATTCACGACTGTGAAAACGCACCCCGGCCCTAGATGAAATATGGGTGGTCTTGGACCTCGAGCCAAAACTCACAATCGTCAATTTTGTATGAATGCAGATGAGAAGCCGCCCGAGTTCTACCATGAGGGGTGTCGTCAGCAAGCGGTTCAGCGGCACGTTTATTCGCGACCAAGTGACATTGTTATGCTTCATGGCTTATATATGAGCACTAAGATCTCATAACATTACAATAAGCATCGCAATTCGAAATATCATCGCCTAAGCGCGTCGCAAGACGATGCCAACTCTTGCGACAAAGGGTTACTTGGGCGCAAGTGGATGATCATCATAGCGAAGGATTCCTACACTGAGGCTTTTAGGCGGCTCTATACAGAGAATAAAATCGTAGCTGTCGGTGTATATTGCCTGTTCCTCGGCAATCAGATCGACAAATGGATGATACCACACAACTACAAGAAGGCCACCGTTGCTCGTCATAGTGCCAGACCGAGTAACTGTATTGTAGGGCAGTGCTGGGACACAAACAATACTGAGACCTGGGTTCAATCGCCCCATTCGCCCAACATAAAGCCGTTCGATTCCAACTGTTCTGGTCAGTCGAGAGTACTCTCCGACGGCAAACGCTACAATGTTTTGTCATTCGCCGAAATTGGCATCAACAGCAATTTACTCGCACTTGTTGAAAAATCGAAGGTCCAAAGGCTTTCGGGGCACTGGGAGCGGGTCATTGGTGAGGGAGGGATTTACAATACCTAACTTGGATAGTATTACTTTTATATCTGTTCTCCTCTTTGTTTTTCAAGAAAAACCGACGGCACTTTTGAATGGGATGACCTAACGGTCCAGGTCAGAAGCTACGTTCACGTACTGTGAACGCAAATGGTTGCATTGCGGCTAGGGCTAGGAGACAAACAACGGGTAGACACGAGAGGCGGTCTCGGTTCAAATTCTAGAAAACGTCCAAGTCATCCATTCTCCGCAATGCAGCCCTTTACGCCTAAATTTTCTTGGTGATCGTAAAATTAATCGATGATACAACTAAAAACTTAACGTTGTAACTGACCACTATTCCGAAGCAAATATGTAGTGTGTACCGCAAGCAGCTGACACCACCAGAAACGATCAACCATATGGGAATCATATTATTCACTGGACAGTTGTGAACATTGAGCGAGCCCACGACGACCTCGACGATTGCAATGAGCAAGAACAGGCCGAAGATGAACAATGCCAACACTGAAAGAGTTCAGCGATTCTGACTGGTCATAGTAATGGTCATATTTCTTAGAGCTGTCAAAAGTTAGATACAGTGTGGTAGAAATAGCTGATCAACTAATCACAATCATTGTAGTGGTGTGTTATCCCGTGCGGGGCTTGAACCTGTCCAGGAGCGAAATTTCCGCAGGCAATCGACATTCTTATGGAGAACTCCAAGAGTCCGAACTGTGTAAAGCGGCACGATCCCAGGAGATGTAGGATGAATACGCTTAGCAGCGTAGAATTCTCCGTTCCTGAGCAGGGCAGCGTAGATTTCTGCGTTCCTGAGCAGGCGCTCTAGGGCACCTTTCCCGAGGAAAATTGCCCTATCGAGGGCAACATACCGACTCGGACACTCATCGCGCCCGCTCGCCTACAAATGTCTGACCAATGATAATTCTCGTATCGCTTCATTTGTAAAGTACAATAAAGCGAAGGGAGCGATATGAAGCGGCTGCCGCGTCGCGCGGATATATGAGTACATGCATGCAGCTGTATCTACCGTAGCGGTGATTGGCACGATGCCAACGGGAAGCTCGTCCCAGATTGTTTTCTGAGTCGTGTAGAACAATATCTATTAGCAGTGCTTCTGACCGTGCCACTTCGCTTTTTGCCATTTCCCTACTGAAGCACCCCTGCTAACATTCTAGACTCGGTACCTGATCACATTGTGCGAGCTTTCAAGCTTCAAAGACTTCCTGTCATCACCTAGGAGCCCTCCCACTTATAAAATACAATTTGATTGCCATATCAGTGGCTGCATCGCTCACGCGACACAGAAATGTTGCAGCAAATACGCCACGAACTTCTGAATTGGGGTTATCGAGGCCTCCGGGGGAAGGGAACATAACAACCTTCGCAAATACTGTATGGAGAATGGTCATCCCAACGTTTCTGCCCCGGTCGTCTATTCTCTCATGAGAGCACCACCGAAGCCCCCTAGGGAGAGAGGGCCTAACACCCTTGCTCACACTACTCTATTGGGCTAGAAAAGAAGTCCTGCAACACTTTGAGCCGCCGTCACCTCAGTCTGTCCGGGTGCCTTGTGTGAAGTGCATGGATCCTTAACCAGTCCCAGTTATCCAGTCAAAAGTGCACGATTACCTGCTGGCATAACGTTGAGGTAACGATCTGCAGCATACTGTATTGGCACTACTTTTGTTACGTGAGAACAACTGCGGTAATTTGAGATTTCCTATTATCGAACCCTCCTATTAAAAACCTAGGACTCCTACCAAAAGTCTATTTCTAATGCTTTGAAGCGTCTTGTACCACAACTAACTCTGCACTTCGAAAAACTCACTTCCTGTAGCCAGCTGTTGGGCCAATTCTTTGCTTAGTTCCACCCTTTCTGCTGAAGTGTCAGTCCTTGCGGAATCTTAGCTACAAGGGTCTTGACGGACTTCTCTGAAAATCAGACACTTGAACGTATGCTCCCGAGCAAATAGTCACGTTACTTCGTAATTGGTGCCAATGTGCCCCAAAACGGCCCGGTTACCAGCGAGGATGAGAAAAGTGCTGCTCCTTCTCAAAACCGCATGTTCGAACACTCCTCACCAATGCCACGACGTACAACCCTCTTACTACACCCCCCTCCCACTTAACAGCGTGGTGTGATTTCGAGGTATCAGAACATGGCGCAGCTCAGCTTTTCTAGTGGGTAGCTCCTTCTGAGGCAAATAGCCCTAGTGACCTTTCTTACCTTCGTCGCCACCATCTTGGGTAGTTTGAGTGGTCGTTGCTGATTTCGAAGTTTGTGAACGAGATCCACTTTTAGCTGAGCGCGTACCACAGGACTTCACATCAGTTGTATCGTTTGATCCTTGAACTTCATCGTGGATGCATAGCCTCTTGATCCTTTTATCTTTGGTAGATTCTTCAGAGCAATTCCCACATAACGGCTACAGTCGCGTCGCAGTATGAAATGAATCATACCGTGCACTGGACTTTTGTCATCATAAGTTGAGAAAGTCCCAGGAACCGCCATGTACGACTCTCAATAAACCCGGCATAATTGTAGTACTGTAGGTTTTCCTCTGTTGAAACTCTCGCGGGGTTGATATGCCACTTTATTCGGCTTACGCACGTTTTGGCGAAACACCACAGACCATACGTTTCATCAGAGCCTGAAAGGATCAAAACGATTTGTGACTATTCGACCAAATATCTCCGCAGTCCTACTGCAGTTCGACCCCAAATCAGGTCATCACGATGAAGCTTACCGTAAACAGTCCGATCCGCGAGACTAGTAGGAAGCTGGCCACTGCACCAGATCGGACTGCTCTGCATTCAGAGCCCCTCGTGGGAGACCAACCTTATAAGTTCTATATATGCCTATAAGTGGTTATATTTGGTACGAGGTAAGGTCTTCATTCGCCTTCATTGTGAAGCCGCAAAAGTGAGATATGTTTCGCGATTACTCGCAGTACTACGGCGCAGTTCGGCAAGGGGGGGGGGGAGACATCTTGTACCTTCGTTGCTTCATCAGTTCCGGTTTACAAGTCCACCTTGGTGAAACCTGTGAATTCTTGTGGAAGCTGGAGCAAGCTCGTCAAGCCATCACGGTAAAACACTGTTAACTCGGAAAGGCTGCCTAGATGGGTCGACACGTCAATGGAAAGTTTCAGAAGTGTGAAATGCCCCTCCCCCTGTCGCCAAACTGAGCCCGTACTACCGAGGCAAGGAAGCAGACCTTGGTTATTCGATCGCGAGGTCTATCACCAAATAGATCTCCGTCGCATAGCACAGTCGTCTCAGGTTTCTGACAGAAAACGAGAAAAAGATTTTCACCTATCAAACAATCTCAAATATGAGAATGCAGAGCCCAGTAGTGCACGATTACAACTCACATCATCATCTTTCTTTTTATCTTTCGCCTGGAAGGCGTTATAGTTTAGAATATATGTGCTCCGACATTCAAGTTATTCGTTTCATTGCCCCAGCAGGGTGCACTACTCGCTTGTCTTGAACATGACGAAAGTCGGCACGCATGGCGAATCAAATTTGAGATAACAGTAATCTTGCGTTCAACAGGAATTACAATTTTCCCAAAATAAAGTAATAGACTCTATTTCGCTGCGGACGGTTGGGCGTGTCAGGCAGTCCTGTCAAAGCCGTTCTCTGCCTTCTTGTTGAAGCGCGCATGCGACAAAAAGTGGTAGAAAACGAGTAATACGAACGATATGATACAGTCATATCATTTGCTCGCTTTAACAACTGGTGGAGAACGGGTTTGGCACCGCGCCAAACTCATCCCGCCTGACACGCCCAACCGTCCGCAGTGAACTACACTATATTCGCCGCCACGTTCAAATGACGTACGCAGCCACGCCTAGGGCTCCTGAGTGATTTAGATTAAAGATTATAGTGTTATTAAGTTTGACAACTTTCACGACGTGATATGACATCTCATGATGTCTGAAGAGAGCAAGCTCCTGAGCTACCACACAAATTCCTCGGATTTTTTTCTAAATTCTTCTGTCGAGCCTAGGGGATGGGGAGGTCGTTGTGATTCAACTACTATTTCCAACTATCGAAGATAGTAGTTGTGTAGATTTTTGGCGGTGCCCAACTATGGGGGGAAGGGGAGGGGGAAGAAACAAGAGAGTGGTAGATTAGTGCAAATGGAAGATTGCATGGGGAGGGGGAGTCGTATTTGAGGATGGAATCAGGAGGGTCGTATTTTTCATGGAATGATCACAACGCGATGGCGTGCCCTGAGTGCAGGCCCCCCGATAGCTGTCCATGGGTGATACAAGAAGCTTCGCAGCTGCTTTGAGCTCCATAGACCCTCAATCTGGCTGCGACTGCAGACGGATTCATACTTTGCTGTATATGGTGATGGGAGAGAGCCTGTATCTGCCTATCGAGGAACATCTTGGGTTTCTTCCGCCCTTTTACTTGTATCCACGTCTTGCGCTGAGCAAACCTTACTGATATGTGACTCGGCCAAAGTGTCTGTTCTTGCACCCCCCCCCCTGTACTAATGGAATCAGAGGTGTATACTAGAGTAACCCGAAAGGGCCATTTCAGAGGACGATCTTTCTTTTCAAACTCCTAATGGTCTGAAACACACCATATTTTGCTTTGTATTATATTTTCCTTCTGTGTTTTGCAAAAACTGATCCCGTGATGACAAACGCGGGAGTGTTCTCCGCTTAGTTGCATCCTTTTCGGATGACGATTCAGAGTTGCAAATCCTTGCTATAAGGGACATCATGGACATCTCTAAAAATCAGACTAGTAGTCTTGGCAGACGTCCAGGCGAACACACAAGTTACTTCGCTATGTGCATCAGAAGGGAGAAGTCTCCTGCGGGACCAAGCCACACAGCTGCACCTTTTCACCAGAGCCGCATGTTCCAACGCGACTCAGCCAGCGTCATAATATGAACCCTTTTATCTCACCCTCTCGCTGTGACG